CAAACCATAAAAGACTATGGACTCTGGGGAACAAAGCGAGGGTTTTGTGGGGGGGTGCTGATGGGTTGGCCTGGTGATGGGTATTAAGGAGAGAACATACAGCTTGGAGCACTGGGTGTCATATGCAAACAATGAGTCATAGAACACTACCTCAAAAATTAATTATGTACTGTATGGTGATTAATATAACATAATAAAAAAAGATTTTATTTGAAAGAGACAGTGCACGCATGCATATACGCACAAGAGGGAGAGGGGCAGAGAGAGAGGCAGCAGCAGATTCCCTGCTGAGCCAGACAGGGGGATTGGTCCCAGGACCCTAAGATCATGACCTGAGCCAAAGGCAGAGCTTAACGAACTGAGTCATGTAGGAGCCCCTCAACTCATATTTTCAATTTATGATGGATTTATCTGGATGTAATCCCATCATAAATCCAGGAAGATCTGTACACTGATACCTCAACTTCATTTAAAAACAATTTTACTTATTTATTTAAATATTTTATTTATTTATTTGAAAGAGAGTGAAAGCAAGAGAGATCACAGAGGGAAAGGGAGAAGCAGACTTGCCACTGAGCAGAAAGCCTGATGCGGGGCTTGATCCCAGGACCCTGAGATAATGACCTGAGCCAAAGGCAGATGCTTAGCTGATTGAGCCACCCAGGCGCCTTGATATCTTAACTTCAATGTGAATAATTAATTAACCAAAGTAATGGGGGTGAGGGTGAAATGACAGCATCAGTATTAATATCATTTTCCATTGAATATTCTATTAGAAGTTTGCATAGTAGTGTCACATAATTGAAAAAATTGTTTCTCTATATTTTAGGCTATGTGGGGAAAGTATCGACAAGTAGACAAAGAGTAAACAGGTCATCAGTAAAAATGATAGATCCTGGATAACATTAAAACCTAAAATTCTGTTCTTAAGTAGCTAAAATTGGCTGTATTTATATGATTGAAAATCTAAATCATAATTCATGCACACTGAGGCTTTAAAAATAATGGGAATGGATAGGAATTACTGATTTCTAATTGTTAAAAAATATGACAACTAGAGAAAGAAATTTATGCTTCCAATTTTTTTAACTTATAGAAAGTCATCTGAAAATACTGTACGTGCTTTGACAAATAATAAGCTAAGCTTAACTTAAAGTTAAGCTTTGACCTACTGGTAATTACCAAGGGAATAAAAAAAAATTTCAACTTTTTCATTAGAAAAGTCATACAGATCACAGTGTTTCATTATTTTTCTTTTTTCTTTTTTTAAAAAGATTTTATTTATTATTTATTTGACAGACAGAGATCACAAGTAGGCAGAGAGGCAGGCAGAGAGAGAGGAAGGGAAGCAGGCTCCCTGCTGAGCAGAGAGCCTCATGTGGGGCTCGATCCCAGGACCCCGGGATCATGACCTGAGCCGAAGGCAGGGGCTTTAACCCACTGAGCCACCCAGGTGCCCCTCATTATTTTTATTTTTGAAGTACACATTAAGAAGGGCAGAAGAAAGATGTGGACAGAAAATTAGTAAGTACTCCTTGGGAATATTTTTAGCCTTTATCAAACAACTGTACCTCTAATTATAGCTACACAAGGTACTGTGATTTTTGAATATAGTTTAGTAAGCTAATTATTATTTACAAGTTTAAACAAAAATTATCAGTGTGGTACAGGGTGACTTCAGTCTTTCCGCTGGGAAATGAAAACATTCCAAAGACTAAAAGTTTTAAAGATGAGATTAAGATAGTAGTATTAAATCCATCATGTAACTAGTAATGTCTTGTTATAATAATGTTATTTCAACATGTTCAAAACTAAGCAGGATTTCTCCCCAGCTACGTAGGCTACTCTCTTTTCCTTTTCTTCAGAGCAGAAGAAACTCTCCCATATAGCTGTAGCTTGGAAATACTTTGCTTTTTTTGAAGATTCTATTCATTTATTTGAGAGAGAGAGAAAGAGCCAGAGAGAAGGCATGAGTGGAAGGGAGGGGCAGAGGCAAAAGCAGACTCCCCACTAGACAGGGAGCCCAACATGGGGCTCAATCCCAGGACCCTGGGACCATCACCTGAGCCAAAGGCATATTCCTAACCAACTGAACCATCCAGGTACCCTGCTTAGAAATACTTTAAATCACATGTTTGGGTTTTGTGAAAAGAGTTGAGTAGCCTAGTTACATTTATATTTACTCCAGTACTCCATTTATATTTCACTTTAAGATGATGAGAACTCAAAACCAGAAAGACCCCACCAAAAAGTATTACAGACCAATATCCCTGATGAACATGGATGCAAAAATTCTCACCAGGACACTAGCTAATAGGATCCAATGGTACATTAAAAAGGATTATTCACCATGACCAAGTGGGATTTATTCCTGGGCTGCAAGGGTGGTTCAACATTCGCGAATCAATCAATGTGATACAATACATTAATAAAAGAAAGGGCAAGAACCATATGATCCTCTCAATAGATGAAAAGCATTTGACAAAATACAGCATCCTTTCTTGATAAAAACTCTCAGCAGGGTAGGGACAGAAGGAATATACCTCAAGATCATCAAAGCTATATAGAAAGAACCACGGCTAATATCATCCTCAATGGGGAAAAACTGAGAGCTTTTCACATAAGGCCAGGAACATGACAGGGATGTCCACTCTCACCACTGTTGCTCAAGATAGTATTTGAAGTCCTGGCCTCAGCAATCAGACAACAAAAAGAAAAAGGAATAAAAGGCATCCAAATCAGCAAAGAAGTCAAATTCTCACTCTTAGCAGATGACATGATCTTCTGTATGGAAAACCCAAAGATTCCACTCAAAAATTGCTAGAACTCATACTGGAATTTGGCAAAGTCACAGGATATAAAATTAATGCACAGATGTCAATTGCATTTCTATACACTAACAATGAGGCAGAAGAAAGAGAAATCAAGGAATTGATCCCATTTACAATTGCACCAAAATCCATGTGATACCCAGGAATAGGTATTCCTAACCAAAAAGGTAAAGGATCTGTACTCTGAAAACTATAGAACACTTATGAAAGAAATTGAGGGAGACACAAGAAATGGAAAACTTTCCATGCTTATGGATTGGAAGGACAGATAGTGTTAAAATGTCTAAGCTAACTAGAGCAATACACATTCAATGAAATCCCTATCAAAATACCATCAGCTTTCTTCACGGAGCTGGAACAAACAATCTTAAACTTCGTATGGAACCAGAAAAGACCATGAGTAGCCAAAGAAATGTTAAAAAAAAATAAACCCAAAGCTGGAGGCATCACAATTCTGGACTTCAAGCTGTATTACAAAGCAGTAATCATCAAGACAGTATGGTCCTGGCACTAAAGCAGACACATAGATCAATGAACAGAATAGAGAGTCCCAAAATGGACCTTCCACTCCATGGTCAACTAATCTTTGACAAAGAGAGAAAGAATATCCAATGGAAAAAAGACAGTCTCTTCAACAAATGGTGCTGGAAAAACTGGACAGCCACATGTAGGAGAATAAAACTGGACCACTTTCTTACACCTTACATATAAATAAACTCAAAATGGATGAAAGACCTAAATATGAGAGTGGAATCCATCAAAATCCTAGAGGAGAAAAGATGCAGAAATCTCTTTGACCTTGGCTGCAGCAATTTCTTGCTAGACACATCTTCAAAGGCAAGGGAAACAACAGCAAAAATGAACTTTTAGGACCTCATCAAAATAAAAAGCTTTGCACAGCAAAGGAAACAGTCAACAAAACTAAAAGACAACCGACAGAATGGGGAGAAGATACATGCAAATGTCTTAGCAGATGAAGGGCTAGTATCCAAAATCTATAAAGAACTTACCAAACTCAACACCTAAAATACAAATAATCCAGTCAAAAAATGGTCAGAAGACATGAACAGACATTTCTCCAAGGAAGACATACAAATGGCCAACAGGCACATGAAAAGATGTTCAACACCATTTGGTATCAGGGAAATATAGATCAAAATGACAGTGAGATAACACCACACACCAGTCAGAATGGCTAAAATTAACAACTCAGGAAATAACAGATATTGGCAAGGATGTGGAGACAGGGGAACTCTCTTACACTGTTGGTGGGAATGCAAGCTGCTATAGCTACTCTGGAAAACAGTATGGAGGTTCCTCAATAAGTTAAAAATAGAGCTACCCTATAAACCAGCATGTGCACTACTAGATATCTATCCAAAAGATACAAACACAGTAATTCAAAGGGGCACCTGCACCTCAATGTTTATAGCAGCAATGTCCACAACAGCTCAAATATGGAAAGAGCCCAGATGTCTATCAACAGATGAGTGGATAAAGAAGAGGTGGTATGTGTGTGTGTATATATATATATATATATATAATGGAATATATATAAAATGGAATATCACTCAGCCATCAAGAAGAATGAAACCTTGCCATTTGCAATGATATGGATGGAAGTAGAGGATATTAATGCTAAGTGAAATAAGTCAGTCAGAGAAAGACAAATACCACATGATTTTACTCATATGTGGAACTTAAGAAAAAAACAAATGAACATAGAAGGGAAGGAAAAATAAAATAAGATGAAAATTGAGAGGGAGGCATACCATAAGAGACTCTGAACTCTAGGAAACAAACTGTGGGTTGCTGGAGGGGAGGTGGGGAGAGGGAAGGGATAATTGGATGATGGGTGAAAGGAGAGCACTTGATGAAATGAACACTGGGTGTTACATGCAACTGATGGATCACTAAATTCTATCCCTGAAACTAATAAAAAATAATAGTCAAAAAAAGAGAAAAAAAATAAAATGATGGGAAATCATATTAAGTGACAAAGTGTTAACAAAGGCTGGACAAATTACTTTATCTCTCTGTCCCTAAACTTGTCTCTAGGATGAGGCTAACACTGTTAAGAGAATTTTAAAAAATCATGTAACATACTCAGTACATATAAGCGATCAATAAATGTTAGCTCTACGGTTATACAATAAAATGGTTACTCACTCTTTTGTTGAGACAAATAACAGGCCACAGGCTGCAACCCAGTGTGCAACAGCAGCAGAGACAACCACATAGTAGCCATTTCACATTGACCGGGAGAGCCTTTTTCAAACATGAATTCACACGGCCAATGCTGGTCTTAAATTCTTCCGGGGCCACCTATAACAAGGGTGCAATCTTTACTTAACATTTTGTGGGCAGCTTTCCACTATTTATCTCTAAATGTGAAGAAAATGTTTGTCTTTTACAAACACTTTAAGGAATTACATGTCTAAATAGATTTCCTCCTTTAATGTATTACCATACTCTTGGATGACATTAGAAAGCAAAACAATATAATTTCATGTTTACAGAACTTAATTCTGATGTTCAAAAATAATCTGAAATTACCAGCATTAAAATCACAGCAAAATTGGTGGTAAAGAATACCTGTCAAGCAGTTTTTCTACCAAACATTCTCATTATTCAGGCAATATTATAGTCTCCAATTATTCTTGCTTGTAAGACCAGAAGCATAATGTAACAATAAAAACCTAAATACTGCCAGAGGAAATGGAATTAAAATTAGACTCTGGTTATATTCCTGGATTACTTTTTTTTTTCCTGGATTACTTTTAAATAGGCAACTCTTGAAACTTTCTCCCTGGCAAATTTGCAGCACAATTTTAATACTTGCCATCATTTGTAGGGAAAAGTTACACTAATAAGACAGTGAGGAGTAACGACATTAAAAAAGGGTCTTAATATTCAGCATAAAATGTACTAAAAAAACTGCTGTAAATTTGGAAATTTGAAAGGTTTTTAAATATACAAATTTAATATCTTAATTACTACCACCATTCCTGGAAGTGGCTGCTTGTGCCTCTCTGTAAACAATGACAAAGTTAGTTCAAAGGCAAGAGCATGACAGGCATAATTAGATTTATACCGAAAATTCTGCTTGAAGGTTATACAATTCAAAGGCACACTAAAAATAGTTTGCTTTCAGTGAAATCACATTTGTGGATCACAAAAATTATTCTCTTTCATTTAGAAAGCTGTCAGACTGTAAAATCTATGGGAAAACATTTTAGCATCTGGCTGGGCATGAAAAAATTATGAAAATATTAGAAAAAAATAAGCTGCTATAAAATAAAAACCCTATTAACATGTTAGGTGTATAAAATATGGAGTTTTACAACTCTTCCAAGTAAAAATTGTAGTAGAGAATTCAATTTATTACATTTTTGTCTTTTAATAGATATATCTTAGAATCAACACTATAAAAACATGCAGATGTTATAAATATAATGACCAAAGAATTCAGCACCATCATGATTAAAACATTATACTAGCTTTATTAGAATTGTTCACGCCACTCAATAAAGTTAATTGCTTAACCCATACATTTGATTTTCTTCCTAATATGTTAACCAACAATAGTTGTAAAATTGCAAGGCTCAAAAAACTGTTTTTACATGGGTATGTAAACTAATCTATACACTCCAACTAAATTGCTGGCAATATGACTTAAGACAATCACTGAGTAAAAAGAATTTCAATTAAATGACTAACTTCCTGGGGGTAAATATGAAAATAAATTCAGAGAACCAAGCCTTGTAACTGAAAAACAGAAAATGCTAACAGGCTAAGCATATCAGACAATAAATGAAGATTTTCATTTAATAAGTAATAATAATAAGTAATAGTTACTTATTAGCTATGAAAAATCATAGGCAAATTCATTTAATTTTTCTGAGTTTTAGTTTCTCCTATATAAAATGAAAATAATAACCTTTGTCTCATATATCTTACAGGAAAAGGGCAAATTCATTTAATTTTTCTGAGTTTTAGTTTCTCCTATATAAAATGAAAATAATAACCTTTGTCTCATATATCTTACAAGAAATGGGCCTCATATCTTAAAAAGAACCTCATTAACCAGAATGCTTTGAAAAAGGAAGCCACTTCCTCTTGACTAGATTTGGAGAAAGAAAAGCAAAGCTCTCTTTTGCATGGTCTCACCTGAAGGCAAGGCATTTGATCAGGTAACCATTAATAATCCATAGCCTTGCTACACGTTCTATTATAAACAAAAGGCTAATTAGCTACATTTTGTTTTTCAATTTTTCATTTTAATTCCAGTAAGTTAACATACAGTGTTATATTAGTTTCAAGTGTATAATAGAGTAATTCAACAGTTCCATACATTACCCTGTGTTCTTCAAGACAAGTGCACATAATCCCCATCACTACTTCACTCATCCCCCCATAACCATCAGATTGTTCTCTATAATTAAGTCTGCTTCTTGCTTTGTCTTATTTTTTCTCTTTACTTGTTTTGTATCTAAAATTCCACATACAAGTGAAATCCTACAGTATTTGTCTTTCTCTGGCTGACTTATTTCACTTAGTATTAAATATACTCTCTAGTTCCATCCATGTTGTTGCAAATGGCAATATTCCATTCCTTTATATGGCTGAATAATATTGCATTTTGTGGATATATCTATATCTGTATCTGTAACTATATATCACATTTTCTTTATCCATTCATCAGTCCATGGACACTTACACTGCTTCCATACCTTGGCTCTTGTAAATAATGCTGCTATAAACATTGAGGTGCATATATCCCTTTGATTTAGTGTTTTCGTACTCTTTGGGTAAATACCTAGTAGTGTGATTGCTGGATGATAAAGCAGTTCTATTTTTGACTTTTTTGAGGAACTTCCATACTGTTTTCCATAGTGGCTGCACCTGTTTGCATTCCCCACAGTACCCGAGTGTTCTTTTGTCTCCACATCGTTCTTACTGTTTGGGTTATTATGGCTTTGAAATATAACTTGAAGTCTGGAATTGTGATGCCTCCAGCTTTGCTTTTCTTTTTTAAGATTGCTTTGGTTATTTGGGGTCTTTTGTGATTCCAGACAAATTTTAGGGCTGTTGATTCCAGTTGTGTGAAAAATGCTGTTGTAGACTGCATTAAATCTATAGACTGCTTTGGGTAATATAGGCATTTTAACAATATTTGTTTTTCCAATCCATGAGCATGGAATGTCTTTCCATTCCTTTGTGTTGTCTTGAATTTCTTTCATCAGTGATTTATGGTTTTCAGAGTACAGGTCTTTCACCTCTTGGGTTAGGTTTATTCTTAGGTGTCTTATTATTTTGGATGAAATTGTAAATGGGATGTTTTCTTAATTTCTCTGTCACTTCATTGTTAGTGTATAGAAATGCATCAGATTTCTGTACATTGATTTTGTATCCTGTGACTTAAATTTGTTTATCAGTTCTAGCAATTTTTTGGTGGGGTCTTTAGGATTTTCTATATATAGTATCATATCATCTGCAAATAGTGTAACTTTTACTTCTTCCTTGCTGATTTGGATGCCTTTTATTTCTTTTTGCTGTCTGACTGCTGTGGCAAGGACTTACAGTACTATGTTGAATACAGGTGGTGAGAGTAGACATCCCTGTTTTGTTCTGTTTTTCACCATTAAGGATGATGTTAGCTGTGGGTTTTTCATAGGTGGCGAGGTATATTCTCTCCAAACTTATTTTGTTAAGAGTTTTTATCATGAATGTGCATTTGAAAAGAATGTGTATTCTGCTGTCCTAGGAGGGAATGTTCTGAATATCTGTTAAGTTCATCTATTCCAGTGTGTCATTCAAAGCCATTGTTTCCTTATTGATGTCCTGTTTAGACGATCTGTCCACTTAATGTAAGTGTGGTGTTAAAGTTCCCCACTATTACTGTATTATTATGGATTAGTTCCTTTACGTTTGTCGTTAACTGTTTACATATATAATTTACATTTAAACAATTATCATAGCTTCATGTATCTTCATATATCTTATAGCATATAATTCACATATCATATAATTCATATATCTTCATGTTGGATTATCCCCTTTACTATTATATATTGTCCTTTGCTTCTTGTTACAGTCTTTGGTTTAAAGTCTGTTTTGTCTGATATAGATGTTGCTATTCTGGCTTTCTTTTGATATCCATTTGAATGTTAAATGTTTCTCAATCCTCTCACTCTCAATCTGTAGGTGTCCTTAGGTCTAAAATGGGCCTCTTGCAGGCAGCAAATAGATGGGTGTTTTTTTTCTTAATCCATTATGCCACCCTATGTCTTTTGATTGAAGCATTTAGTCCATTTACATTCAAAGTAATTATCAATAGATATTTATTGCCATTTTATTACTTGTTTTGTGGTTGTTTCTGAAGACTTACTCTGATCCTTTCTTGTCTTTTTTCATGTTTTGCTTACTTCTTTAATGATATGTTTGGATTTTTCTCTCCATTCTTTGCATATCTACTAGTGGTTTTCGATATGTGCTTACCATAAGGTTTGTATATAACCTCTTCTGCATATAGCAGTCCATATTTTTGATGGTCATTTAAGTTTGAACATATTCTTTTCTCCTGTCCTCCACACCTTTTAGGTATGTTATTGTATTTTATATCCTTCCTTTGTGAGTTTGACTTTTTTGCAGAAAAATTCATTTTTACTGCTTTTGTGTTCCCTGCATCTATACTATCACTTTTGGTCTCTCTACTCAAAGAGGCCCTTTTAATATTTCTTGCAGAGCTGGTTTAATGGTCATGAACTCCTTTAGCGTTTGCTTGTCTAGAAAACTTTATCTCTCTTTGTATTGTGAATGATAGCCTAGCCAGGTAGATAGAGTATTCTTGGCTGCAGATTCTTCCCTTTCAGCACCTTGAATACATTGTTACCCATTTCTGGTTTGCAAAGTTTCTTTTGAAAAACCTCCTGCTAGCCTTATGGGTTTTCCCTTGTAATTTAATGACTTCTTTTGTCTTGCTGCTTTTAAAATTTTTTATCACTATATTTTAATTTAGTGACAATATATCTGTGTGTTGGTCTGCTTTTGTTGATTCTGTTGGGGGGTGTTCTCTGTGCCTCCTGGATCTAGATCTCTCTTTCTTTCCCAAGATTAGGGGAACTTTCAGCTCTTATTTCTTCAAATAAATTTTTTGCCCCCCCCCCTTCTCTCTCTTCTTTTTCTGGGATTCCTATAATATGAACGCTATTACATTTGATGGAGTCACTCAGCTCTCTCTGTTTATTCCCATTTTGCATCTTCTCTTTCTTTTCTCCCTCTTGTTCAGCTTATTTTCCATTACTTTGTCTTCTAGGTCACTA